GCGAGACTACCGCCTCCACCGAGAGGGGCGGACGCAGGGAGGGAGGGGAGGGAGGAGAAGGCAATGACGTGGTCCTTGAACGCTGGCAATTATCGGCCAGAAAAGACCTCAAAATCCAGGAATGCACGCATGTTCTACAGATAAAGACGAGGGAGACTTGCAGAGCTTGGAGCGCTTACCCGTGACTGGCAGATGAACCACCTCGCTCAAGTACCCAACAAGGAGATTCTCCCGCACCCCGAACCTGAATCTCCCAAAGGGGGGAAGGAATGAGTCTTTTTCCTCCCGAGCCCTCCTCCCACGCGTGTCCATTGCTTCGATTGTTTCCCCTCCCGCTCACCTCCCTCCGTTCAGGACCTTGACGACGCCTTTCATTGTGCTGTAGGCGTAGAAATAAATCGACTTCTCCAAAGAGCTTTGCAGAGAGGAATATTGGACCCCGCCGAAAAATCCTCCCAGACCCGCGCGGCGATAGATTTCCTTAGCCACGTCCTGTGTCGTCAGCGCCGAGCTATCTTCATCTGAGCCCTCATCACCTTCTTCCGGAGCAGTTTCCCCAGAGAGAGGGTCGGCTGCACTTGCGGCCACAGCGGCAGCGGCGGCAGCTACGTTTCTTTCTCCCTCTGCACTGGAAGTTTGTTCATCTTCCGTGGCAGCAGTTGTCGTAGCTTGCCTTGACTGCTTTTGTTCCTTTGTTTTAGAGGCCTGAATAACGGTTTTGATGACCTGCAGACATGGGAGGAGAGAGCGTCACAACGAGGACTACAGAGCAACGTGCTGGTTACATTCTCTCCATTGCAGACCAGCAAAAGTGCGGTCTCCGTGAAGACGTGAGTTTGAAACGCAACACAGTCTGACATATCAAAGCCTGGACCCGTGTGGCATTCATTTGATCCCTAGCCTACTGTCATACATCTCACCCCTCGCTTGCTCCCAAGTGACCCCTTACCTCAAGTGGATACAAGACAGCAGTGGAGATAGCGCCACCTTCAGCTGCCGACAATGCCTCTGCCAATACCTCCGGGGATGCCATGGTCGCTTCTGTGACAGTAGGGCGTAATTAATTGTGGCAGGTAAGGAGATGCCTCAGGCGCAATCGAGGGGATGAGAGGAAGCTGCCCGCTCGCTCAAAAAAATCAGCGGAGTCAACTCTATGAAAGGAGGTTTGCGTACGAAATGAAATAAGAATAGCTCATCTGACCGACGCCACCTTGTAGTCGAATTTTACCCACATAAAGCACTGTTGGGCAATTCAAAAACCTGAAAAAATAACGATTCGAAAATTGAAGTAGAGTACAGGATGTCATTGACCCTTTTCTGAAGCACAATCCTGTGAACTAACTCCTCGTTTAATCTGCCTGATCCACTTTCGGGACTAAATCTTTCCCTTTTGCATAATTACATTCTCGTCCGCCTTTTCACATCCGTCCTGGCCCTGTGCGAGCCCCTCTCGACAACCAGGAAGCCAGAGAGTCCAGCAAACTTCCCTTATGCTCGCCCTCCTTACCCCAACCCTTTCCACCGTTTTCGGGGCTTGCACTTCTACCTACATCTTCCTCTTCCCTTCTCCTTCGTTGTCCTCTTCCTTTTTTCATCTCCTCCGCGTCCAGTCGCAGCGATCCCAGCGCCGTGACCGTACTGAACACGCCTTCTTTCTCTGCGGCCCTGACCACGGCTCGTGCTGTACCTCTCTCCATCCACGTTCCTCCCTCCTTTTCTCCCCCCTGCACCACATCGCACACTTCCTCCAACGTCATCCTCATTCGCTGCAGAGACATGGAAGGGACTTGCAAATTATACAAATCGATCTCGGCATTGATCCAGGCCACGTCTTCTCTCAAACCCGCCAAGCCGACCACCCGCGATTTCCATCGTGCCATCGCTCCTTCCTTCCCTCTTTTCTCTGCTCCCTCCCCATGCTCCCACGTTTCAAGCACCACCTTGGCCCATTCCGCCTCTAGCCTGTGCACAAGCCGTCGTTCCGCATCTCGGATCCTGCTTGACCTCTCCACCCACACTGGCTTCACGCCGGACTTGGATAACACGTCCATGTAGGTGGCGGATGTCTTATCTGTGGCGTAGAGATACCCTGGAGTGGAGGAGAGGAGGTCGCGGGGATAGGCAAGGATATATGATGATCAACATAGCTTAAAGCCTTATCCAGGTTCCCATCGCTCGTAAGGCTTTCCCTGTCTTAGCATGCTACCGCCGCCTGCTCTCCGCAACTCGTCCTCACACACACCGTCGTACAAAACAACACCCTATTCAGAATGCTTCCTCCACTTTCAAGCCCTTTCTCCCCTATCCCTCTCTTGCGGTCTCACTCGTCTCCTCACACACCGACCCTCACCTTCCAATCGCTCCAGGGGCTTGCCCTTTCCCTTCAAATCGTCGAAATCCCCCTGTGCCATCGCCAACTGAATCTTCTCCTCCACGCTCATCCCCTCTTCAGGTGTACCCTCCGTCCCTCCCTCCGCCACTTCCTCACGGCGCACCCTCCGCCGGAAAACCGCGCGCTCGGCCCGAATCAACCGTGCTTTGCGCGCTGCCACCTCCCTCTCGAAATAGCTCGCGGTAGAATGGCCATCCGCGTCCCCACCATCAAATTCAGGCAGACTGAGCCATTGCCGGTTGGCAGGATCGTCCTTACGGATGATCAAACGAGACTGGTCTCGGACTAATGGATTGTTCACCTGTTCCGCCTCGTACTGTTGAAGCTGTTTCGGTAAATGGCTGACGAAGGTGGTGTGCTCCATTACACGTTCCCATGAAGGATCACGATTGCGGGTCAAATCGCGAAACACTTGTACTTTGGGCTGCCCGCCCTCCTCCCTATTTTTCCCTGTCCCTCCAGTGCTGACGTTAAACCGACGAGTCGGTCTGTGACTTGCGGCGTCGGCAGCGACAATATTGAAAGATGATGAAGGCAAAGGGGTTGCGTCATTGTCTTGGGGATGAGGTTCATCGGATGGACTTGTGCCGTCGTTTTGTCGAGTGGAGGAGGAGAGGGGAGGAGGGGACAGGTGACGCCAGCGGTAGAGAGATCCGAAAAGAGAACGCGGCTGACGCAGGCAGTGCAAAGAATCCTGTACAAGGCGATGCATCACCTTTGATAACCCTGTGTGGTTGAGATACGACAATTTTTTCAAGTTATGGCATAAAAAGAGGGAGATGGCTTGGAGGAAGGAGGCTAGCTGCTTGAAGCTTGAGGGGGCGGATAGTGTTGGGTGGTAAACACACCGATTGGAACACAAAGTAAATGACCACCAAACACTCCTCGTCCCGAGCAATCAACTCACGCGTCATCGAATGCACCTCAAATATCATTTTCGCCAGGCTTGTGCAGAGGTTTAGTGGAGATGTGATGAACAGTGCCAAAAGTCGAATTCGTTTATATGCTGAACACTGTACGTGCCGAAACTAGCGCCCTGGAAGGCTCATATTGATGAAATGTCTCTTATAGCGTCCCCTACAGTGAACCAATGTGCAGTCCGTCGAAAGAATGAAAGTTCTTATTATAAAGCCAACGCAGTTATGAAAGTAACACTGTCGCGAGCGGAGCTTTCTGCAGGGACAGGAAACTTTGTTTACGCGACCGAAGGGATACATGGCAATTTTTGTAAGCTGCGGCAAGCTATTACAACAATTAAATCATTACTTGCGATACTAGTCTTCCTTTTGCCATATTATTTGTCTATAGCAGACCGTAAGCTTCAGTTAACACCTTGTCCTACTCGCCCCCATTTTGTGGCAAGAGGCCAAGACGAGTACACGCAAGACACACCGTTTTGAATGTTTCAACACCCACGATTTCGACTTCCTTTTAAATAATTTCAATCCCTAAGCCTAAATTTACTTGCCTCTGTGACTCGAGCACCCAATCGTGGCACTACCAAATACCCAACTTTTCACCCAAGCCTAACGTAAGCCCTTTTGTCTTTGGAAAGGTGCCCCAGTTCGCGTCGTCTTCTTGCCCAAGGAGAAGTCTTCACATCTTTCAAATAAACAATGT